ACGGACGGTGAGAGAGAGAGAGACGGACGGTGAGAGAGAGAGACGGACGGTGAGAGAGAGAGACGGACAGTGAGAGAGAGAGACGGACGGTGAGAGAGAGAGACGGACGGTGAGAGAGAGAGAGACGGAGGGAGAAAGATAACAAGTGGAGGGAAACAAGAAAACGAGACTAAAGGATGTGAGAGGGAGAAATTGAAAGGGAGGCAGAAATAAGTCTAACTGAATGTATTAATACATGTCCAACAATTTAAATTAAATTTACTTTGCTTTACTTTTCGAAAGTAAATTTGAATCTTGTAATTGTAAATCTTTTTTTTTCGATTCATTCATTCTGATTTACAATGTACCCAAGGAGTTTCTCTGTAGCCATTTTTTAGACTTACTCGCTTCTCAAATGCCCCACTCTCAGTTAGCATGTGTTTCTTTTTATTTTTCATATTTCACATTTTTGAAAGGCCATATCTTAGACATGTTTTAACATCCCGTTTTTTTTATGCAAACACGGCGTAACACTTTCAATAGTTTCTATCATATAGCTACTTCAATGCCTGAGACTTGAAAACACGAGCGCATTATGGAGTACAAAAATATTGGGGCACGATGACGCTGAAATACTTCACAGATTAAAGGGGCGATTTTGCAGTGAGGGTGCAAATGTGTCTCGGTGTCAGAATTACTCTTCACTCACTTACCGTAGTCAAATATAAAGATGTATTTGCTTTCATGCAATCTGACCTACTTGGATGTGAGCCAAGTAGCGATGGAATTAATGATTTAAATTTTAGCCCTAGCTTCATTCGATAGAAATTTATGAATTAAGTGATTCATATATCTACGAGTATCATCACAATTTTTAGTCATTTTATATTATGATACTCAATTTTAAACTGGAGAAGAAGTAAAATGCAAGGAACTGACGACGTAGCTGCTGCCTACAGGATACAGTGCGAACTGTTTGTAGTGCTTTCATTTGTTGTGAACAAATGTCGGACATTTTGTTCAAAAAAGCCGAAGTTCAGTGATTTACTACGTCTATAAATTCATCTAGTGTCGCTATGATTGTGTATTGGCTAGTTTGATTTTCAGACTATATTAATCCTTATTATACTTTGTAAGAAAATCGATTGAGAATATTATGCGGACGTAAACAAGTTTCAAGAGGATCTTTAGCAAATTCCTGATTACCTTTTTCTGCAAATTGCACAAATGTTAGTTTATTACGAGTATTTTTCAAAGAGGTCTGAAAGTTTTGCAACTGTTGTCTACGATCTTAATTGTTATTGCCGCCTTCGTAAAATAGACGACTCGTAATATCGAAGGAATGGGCTCATTTCTTGCAGGTAATATAATCTCACCTACGTTGCCTTTGTTTGAACTAGCATAGTCTGTCCCACTTTCCAACGCTCTCCAATCATCCGAGAATAATTTCAACGCTTAGCATCAACATCATTGCATGTAATGGCCTTAGTGAGCAGTTAACGAAGTATTTCTCGCTAGGATCCCTGAGACTGCTCGTAACTGTCTCTCGTTAGCGGAGGGTCGTATTTAGTGTATAAACTGAAATAATTGTAGAAAGGTAATCTCCACGTACTAATTTATTGTCTGCCACAAAGGTGAAGAACAATGCGTGGTTATTTAGCAATACTCTCATTGAATATTTGAGTCCGTACTCTCTCAACACATGATTCACTGCCTCTTCGCACCCCTTTGCGTGACTAGTTGGCGAGCACATAAACTTAACACAAAGAACCATATCAAGAGTCACAAGAACCGAGAAGATAAATAGTAATAATTATTATAGTTTTATGGCAACTCATGGAGATTGAAGAGTGTTGAGTTAACATTGTTTCCTTCTCTACACACGATCAGGTTGGTTAGAATGTGTATAGCACCTTAAACTGGCCAAGAATACAACTATTGGGAACGTGATTGGATTTCTTGCGTTCTTTTCCTGTAAGTTACTGGAAGATGACTGAACTATCTAATCTGGGATTCTTCGGTCAGTAGAAACTAAACGTAAAACTTTGTTGACCTGACGATATCAATAGTTGACATTTGAATGATCTCATTTCCTCATTTCTTATCCATTGCACATAGGCAAGAGAAAGGAAATGTCAGTTATTAATGATTTTATTGAATTGTGAAATATCGTCACTGGGTGGCACGGAGCGTTTCTCAAATTTTTAAAGTTTGTACCTTCAAACGACCCAAAGTTCAATGACCGTAAATAACGAATTTCAAACAGTATCTTACTAAATTGATGCCCATTTTAATTTATTTAAAAAATGTATTATTTAATTTTAACTTATTAACACTAATATAAATTAATAAAATATATTAATTAATCATATTTAAAAATACATAATTTATTAAAACAGTGTAATTTACATTGTAAATAATTACAAAAATGCTAAAGAAACAAGACGTACAAAATTGCAATTTGTTTAAACACGACAGAGCGCAACAAATGTACACGTTTCCCCAGCTTTTGCGAATGCGAATACTTACTTTAATAAAAGAAATAGCTAGTGATGCTACAACAACAAACTATCTTAGATTATCGATAACGACCACGTTACAGACGTGACGGACGATCTGACCGACATAAAAAAAAAAGATAAATGTAAGGTATCCCAAAAATGCCACCGGTGTAGGTTGCTCAGGGCATCAATTGATTAATTGCAGTGCCTCTGACCGGCAGGTTCTAGGGTTCCATCCCCGACCGTGTGAGGATTTTCGACACTAGCTAGTTAGCTACAGGATACGAATTGTAGGTCGAATTCAGACGCTATCTGGGGTAGAATTCTAGCGATCAGCTGCTCTGATACGTAGTTTTCCGCAATTTCTTCGATCAACACCAGGCAAATGCCGAAACTGTGCCCTAATAAACGTGCCACGGACCGTGCACGATCTTTCCTACCGCTTCCTTGCTCTATCCTCCCCCTTTACTTTCATCACTTTCACAGACAAGTACCACGCGTCAGGAGATCAGTCGGAAGTTTACTGTTAGAGCCTGTCCCGGCTGGGGCAGGGCCCCGCCGACGGGAGGTACGTGGTTGGGAAAAACCCGGGAGCCGACGTTAAGGTCAGCTCCGGATCTCGCCATACATGGGGGAATATATATATATAATGCGATAAATGCACTACACTTACGGGACTAATGGTTTTATCCGTTAACGTGCTCAGAACCCCTAACCAATGAATAAATCAAAAACGTATTTAAGTCAAAATCGAGACATTGAATTTTTGCTTCGTTTCAAAACTAAAAATGAGAACGTTAAAACCCGCTAGTGGAGGGACGTGCTGGAAGGGAGCTACTGCAACGCAATTTGGCTCGGCAGGCAGCAGCATCCAACACGGAGGCAGCGGCGTCCCCGACTCCCTTTCGCCGCAAGGCGAGGCGACGAGCGCCGACGGCGGGGGTGGGGGCGGGGGCGGGCGCAGCGGCGCGAACACGGCACCGCCCCTTGATTTCCCTGCGGCGGCGGAGATCTCGATATTCACGCTCCGCTCCTGGCCCGCTTTCTGGCGATCATCTCGAATGCAGAAAGAGGCTGCCGCCCGGCGGGGTTTCGCCCGCCGCGGCGCAGTTGTTAGTGTTGCGTGGTGGGCGAGGAGTTGACAACGCTGTCTATGCGGTGCGGTGTGGTGCTGTAAGGATGTTACCCAACGTGTGGCAGTGGTATTGGTGGTGCATCAGTGATGCGCGAGAATGGAGGATGTTGCTTCGGCACGGGCAGTGGTAAGAGATTGGCTGTGAAACACAGGGTAGGCGTTTTGTTTCTTATACAATGGTCAACAGCGTGTGTTTGTGTTGTGGTTATGAGCTAAAGAAGAGAGAGGTGCATATTATTTTAATTTCGCGTACGACTACTTAGCTTGCACGTTAGGTATTTGCTTTACGATTGGTGCTTCATGATTTTTTCATTTATTTCATCGCTGGAATAGTAGACATTTCATGTCCATAAGAGTAGGAGTGCTTGGAATACTTTCTTATTCCTTTTCCAACATACAGGAACACATATATTCATTTTTACCACGATTATAATTGATATTGGTGTGGAGTGCTAATAAGCGAACGATACACCATTATAAGATGTGTATGTAGAAATAATTAAAAGGAAAATGCATTTTTTCAAAACGGTATTTAATAATAAAATCACTGTCTGATGAGATATGCGAAGTGATTGTCCTTTTATGATACCTTAATGAGCGGAGATCGATATACAGCGCAAGCGATTCCTCCAGATTGTTCCTATTTACAAAGTACTGATACTGCTTGGGCAGCCGCCGTTGTTTTAAAGTGGGTCAAAGCGTCGCCGGGGTAAAATATGTTGGACATCACAGTTCTGCACTACATTAGGAAGGAAATTAATATCAGCTTTCGCAGCAACAGGATCTGCCCTTGAAACCACCCTAGTGTTTCAAACGGCATCTGGGCGGCGAGTTGCAAATGAAACGACGCCGAGCAGCGGGTCTGACGGCCGGAGCCTCCGCTGAGCGTCTGTCCGCCCGCCCAGTGGCGAGCGCGCGAGTGTGCGAGTGTGCGCTGGCCGCGGCGCGCCCAGGCATACGGCCGGCCCTCGTTTCTCGCGCACCGCGAATACATTAGCGCTGGATGTAAAGGCGGCCCGCGTTAATTGGCCGCGGCGCGGCTTGGCGCGGGAAAGTGCGACGGAAGGGCGGTGGTGGTGGAGGTGAAGGGAAGGGTGACGGTGATGGTGGGTATGTGGGGTGGGGGAGAGGGCAGTGGCGGGTTCGGATGCTCAGACGGTGAGGGAGATGTGAGGCGGTAAGTTTAATTTGAGATAGAAGGGTGGAATGATGGTGGTGACAATCGGAGGGTGTGGCAACGCCGTGTGTGTGTGTCTGTGTGTGTGTGTGTGTGTGTGTGTGTGTGGGAAGATTGATTGGTTATTAGAGTTTCCGGGCGCGTCCACTACTAGTCATTAGTCCCGTAAGTGTTGTGACGGCGGTCTTCCCCCGGTGTAAGGCGAGACTCGGCGCAGGTCTAATGTCAGCTAGCGGGGTTTTCCCCAGGTATCTCCCACCAGCGGCACCCAGCCCCATCCGGGACAAGCTCCAAGCTCCCGACCGTTCTCCCAACGACATATGTGGTAGTGAAATGCATGTTAGTGTAAGTGCGTGTTAAGGGTGAGGATAAGAAAAGGAAGAGGTAGGAAAGATAGCGCGCGGTCTGTGGCCCGTTTGTTAGGGTACTGCTCCGGCATTCGTCTGATGTTGATCGAAGAAACCACGGAAAACTACCGATCAGAGCAGCCGGCGGCAAGAATTCTCCTCCACACAGCGACGGAATTCGACCTACCTGACTAGCTAGTGTCGAAAATCCGGCCACCGTGTGGAGTGTGATCCTAGGACCCCCCGGTCAGAGGGACTGCAGTGCCATTCGTTGATACCCTGAGTCATCTCTCTCAGAATGTGTTGTAAGAGGAGCGGTGGGTTCGGAAGCCGAGGAGGCAAGAGAGATAAGATAAAAAGCGGCCGTCAGGGGAAAGGTGAGGGTGACTGTTGCAGCAGCAAAGGAGGCAGTGATAGTAATGGAGCGGCTAGAGACAATGACTGAGTTCAGGGGAGGGGGTGGCGGGTGATTGGAGGAGGTTGCCGTTGTATGCGAGGCCGACACGACCAGGATGGCGGGAAGGGGGTGAGAGGGAGGCGGAGGCACGGAAAGTGCGACAGGGCCATGGTGGACGGATGTCTGGTTGTGGTGACGGAGGGGCGGAGAGATGGTGTGTTGGGGAGGGGAGCAACAGTAGGTAGTACGCCGAGTAGACAAGGGAGTGGGGAGACGATCCGGAGCGGTAGTGATGGGAAAGGCGGACGTTGTTACACCAGCAAAGGCGAGCGTGCCTGTCAGGAAGAGGCAGGTGTTCGGAATACAGGGGCGGGGATGTTGAATGGGGTGGGATGGGACGACAGAGATATTGGAGGCTGAGGTGATTGGGATGGCGAGGTGGTAGGAGGGAGGCAGCAACACCCAGTTGACCAAAGAAACTCCTGTTAAATTATAACATTACAATGTTCCGAATACGTAGTAAAGCGAGTATTCTACAGCTGTCACCGTTTCTCACTGCCTAATCTCCATTCATTTCGATCTCCCCAGGCATCATCTTCTAAATCTATTGATATTACGTCTTCCTCCCACTGTCTTCTTAGTTTTTCTCTCTATCTTCTTTCTTCAGGATGATATTCCCACATCATCTTTGGCAGTTGCTCACTGTCCAACCTTCTTAAATGCCCACACCATATAATAGAGCCTTTGTTTCTATCAGTTCTAAGGTTGATTTTCCAGGTTTAAAAGGAGACTATTAAAAACATGCAAAATGTATTCCAAGCCTAATCAAGTTGTCAATATTGTCATGCTTTTAATAATTTCCTTTTAAAAATGTAAAACTTACGCTTTCGTGCAATTCCCTAGGACTAATATGTTGAACACATACCTATGCGACAACTCAGGGTTAGCGACGGCAGCGTTTGCAGAGCTAACGGAAAGGGGACGTGGTGGGTGGGAACAATGTAAAAGTCTGGGCGTCGCTGTGGGTCTTTCTCTCCAGATGTGGTTTGCCGTGTTATTTATTTAGCAAATGGGTCCCCTGCACGGTGGTGCTCTTTTGAAATTGCCGGAAGTCATCACTTCACGTTACGCCAAGAAGTAATAAAAGTTGGAGGGAAATGTAATTTAAATGTAAAATAGAATGTGGAGAAAAAGCAAAGTGTCTTAAAATAATTAGTGCCTTGTTACTCGAAGTAACGTTCTTAATCATAAGGAAAGTCGAACTTTTGTGTCTGACAATTTTTTCAATAA